AAGTGCTTTGACAAAAAATCCATAACAAAATGTCATCTGTGGAAGCCGTAGTACTGTAAAAAGCACGACCAATCGTTTTAGCCGGCCCGGCTAAAATAACTGGATGGCCTACCTGCCTGTCAGCCTTCCATCTGTGCACAAACTTATCTCGTGCCCTCATTGGTCATGTGCGCGTTCGTGTGTGTTGGAGGAGGGGCTCTGTAAGGAAGTGGCAGATTTTCTCCGGTTGTGTATTTTCAAATTCTAGCCATCTGGAGCCGGTTTCTCAAACTTACCTACCCTACCTTTAAGTGTTATTTACAGAGATTGAAATGTAGATGTCAGGGTTGGGGACAGCTACTTCCCAATAGAAAGTACCCTATAAATGATGTTTTTGTATATATTAAGCTTAGCTTATCACATCTAATTTAATGCCTTGTGTTTAAATAGACCATAACATATTCTTAGTAAATATCTATGTCTGAATACTTAATTGTTTTGTTAAATAGTTTTTCTTGTTGTGGGACCGCACTTTGTACAAATTCGGTAGAATGCCCCACGAATGTTCTTAATCTCTCCACACCACTTGAATAAAATATTCCTGACTGTCAGGAATGTAAATGAAAAGCTTTGCTAAATCATCTAAACACATTTGGGATTGGTCTGAAGTACAGGCAGGTAAGTGTCAACACTTGTCCCACCTGCCTGTTCCCTGCTCTATTTCCTCATTACATTTGACACACTCTTTCCAAAAGCGTACCTCCCAACCACCCACTTCTTCCCTAGAGCTCTGATTTCAAATGCTATACCTCCATCACTGCAGGCCCCTTCACTAACAGCATTATGCCATTCAGATAGCACTTGATATCACCGGGATGTGTCTCTCGGCATTCAGGCGCTCTGATCTGATTATGCCCAAATTCAATCAGCTTGTCAGCTCTGATATCACACTGCAATTCAAACTCATCCAGATATGGGAGGCTGAAATGTGGCATCTTTGATCAATGTCTGTTCAGTTTGGCCTCTGTAGAGTTTAAACTACAAAAATCATACACTACTGTCAAATAGTCATAAAAGAGCTGGTTTAATTTTGATATAAATTGTAAACTGTCTTAAGATGACGTATGCTGACATCATGCCGTACCCGGAAGAATCAAATGGACAGTGACGTATCTCCAACGAGGCGTTTTGGGGAGGTCTTTTCTGTGTTAGAGTTTTACTCGCTACAGGGTGTACTTTGAGGGTTTTGACTCTGCACACCGTTTACATGCATAAAAACCTTCATAACACACAAGGGGACGGGTAATAACCGGAAAAGCATGACACCTCTCCTTTAAATATGATGAAATGTACTGCTATGAAGGAAGACTGGTCCCCTGTTTAAAACAATTCCGGTTCTTCTTGCATTTGGGATAAAAATAAAGGGGGATATTTTCTTTCTTTGGAGACTTTTTAATGGGATTTGTTTTTATTCCTACGATCAGATTTTGATTCGATGGGTGAACTTTTCTCTCTCCTCAACATTGTTTCGATTTATTTTCTCGATTTTGTGAACGTTTTGCGAAAAGTTGGGCTTAACACATGTCTTCTACTTTGACTCAAAGCCATTTGACAGGAGGCCGGCTGTTAGTGAGGTAACAGCAGGGCCTCGGTGAGTGTGATTATGATTCAGACCGGGCTGCAGGGTGCTTCTCTGTTACATAACCAGCTGACACCTCTATGTCCATCACGCACGCACGCACGCACACACACACACACACACACACACACACACACACACACACACACACACACACACACACACACACACACACACACACACACACACACACACACACACACACCACACACACACACACACACACACACACACACACACACACACACACACACACACACACACACACACACACACACACACACACACACACACACACACACACACCCACACACACACACACACACACACACACACACACACACACACACACACACACACACACACACACACACACACACACACACGAGAGAGAGAGAAATGAAGAACCACAAACAGATGCACACATCCTCTGTCAAATATTCTTTTAGAAATTCTCAAGCAGCTTTTCCACACACTTCTAAAAGCACTGAGACTGGTGATGAATGATCTGAAGTGACAGAGAAAACAATTTGACAGCAGTGCAGCAACGAAGTTGATACTCCTAAAACTTGGTTTGTGTTTGTTTGTATATTGTAGAATATGTGCTTCAAAAGGCACTGAACTGCCTCATTTGTAAAACAGTTTTATACAAGAGGTTTCCAAAACTGCTACAATATTATGTCATATTGTTTACCCTGCCTACTACCAACAGCTTGTTCAAAGTTCACACTTGGAAGTGTAAAGAATGCTTTTTTACCCACAATTTACACTTGCTTATGTAGCTATCCTATAAATGCTCTCAGCTCTTTGGGTTTATGCTTGAAAGCTAAAATCGGTTTCAACACGTGAAAGGCTTTTCGAAAGGTTACGGTTATCTGTTGTTGTTGTATCTTTCAAAGCACAGAGTCTTTCTTCAATGTTATATTGGAGCTTTGCAAACAAAATGTCTCCATCGAGTGTGCCAAATCCTTAGTCACTCCATAACTGAGTCACGTACTTATTTTTGGGCTTCTCAAAACAGAATGCACGAAATATCCCCAAAACTCAGCATACAAATACATTGTAACGATGTAATCCCTTGGGGAAATGTTTGAGGCAATGCCTTTTGTTCAATTGTATTGTTCCCAGTAATTATTTCATAAACATTGAACACGTAAAAAAAAAGGTTGTATATTCGTTGAAAACAAAACCAGACATTACATAAATTCCTCTTTTGTCCTCGAGACAAATTGTCATGTACTTATTTTTGTGCATAATTTAACTGCTTTCCCCCAGTAGGTTCATGGAGTTTTGCGGAAAAGATTTTCAGATGCATTACATTTTTTCTGATTCTGTATATTTGGGTGCTTTGCCTTCAGGAAATGTTTCCTCTAGGGATGCACCGATGATACATTTCTTGGCCGATGCCGATGTTAAGAATAACAATTTGGCCGATGCCGACGTTTTAATGTAATTTTTTTTCCACTGTTATTCCACTTACTGCCAGGAAAAACAAATAATTGTTCTCGCAAAATGGTTTCAGTTTCAAAGGCTGAGCAAGTTGGTTATTATAACATCATAGTACGCTGTTTGTTCGTTGTTATAACATCATAGTTCTTCCTTGTTTTTGAACTTTTCGATGTATTAAGCTAGAAAAAACTCTTCTTTGCCTCTTAACCACACGCAGGTCAACTTGAGAAGTTCTTACTTCAACATCATAATGTACATGTTATTGCTGTGAGATGTCAAACACATGACCATGACCTGAGTCTGCTGCATTCCCCTTAAAGAAAATGTGTCATTTTTTCCCCATTGTCAACCATAGAAATACCTGTAAAATGAGTAGTGTGTTTATGTAAGACCCGGCTGGATCACACAGACTCATTGCAGTCAGTACTGCTCTCACAGAAAGCCTTGTGACGCACACATGAAGAAAAGATATATAGGAAACATGGGGTGATCTACATCTACCCAGCCTAATGTGTCACATTCTGTAGTAGAACACGTCTTTGTTTTCTCACATGCACATCTTTTTCCCCCATGGCTTTGTTTGCTATATGTTACATGCATTTTAAAACCACCAGTACCAGCAGTTATTGCGTCATGTACCATAATGAATAGAGATGTAACGCATGGTCTGCCCTTCTCCCAGCATCCCTTAGGATTTGCAGGCATACTAACTGGCAAATGTGTTGTGTGATTGAGTTTTTCATTAAACCACAGCAATACATATTTACGAGGCATCTTTGTGGCTTGAGCTAAATGGCAACATGTTAGAAAGAATGAAAAAGACTTTACATAATGTCAAGCTTGCAAGATATTTGTTCAGCCAGTAAAAGGTATGTTATGTAGCAGACTCAATAGAAATAATTTACCATTATCTGTGGTTAAACAATAGCAATCATCTTATGTGCCGTGACTGTGATGTAGGCTACAGTAAGATTTGGGCAGTGTCAGTGCGTTGCTATGGTTTTTCAACAGTTCCTTCTTACGTTTTTAGTGAGGGATAATGTGCAATGAGCCGGTCATTCATGTGATGATCAGGATCCCAAGAGCAACGTACATTGAAATGACGGCAGTACTGATGGAGGTTTTTTGTAAAAGTATTTTCAAATTCTCTTTTCCATTAGCAGACTTGAATCACTGCCAGAGCCCACACCGTGTTCCTGTTAGTGTTTACTTCCTGTCTGTTTTCTTCTGTTGATTTCTCTGACGTCCAGCGCTCTTTTATTCTCTTTCCTTCTCTTGTTCTCTTTTTCTTTTCTTTACTGGGGACGGTTTAACCATCATGAATCGTAAATGTGTTTTGTTTTCTCCAAAATATAAAAGTGAATATTCAAAAATGATCCCATGGTCGAGATTGCTATCCACAGCTGACGTTAAAATGATTTCTTTCTGCGTATTGACTGCACATAGTCCCTTGAGCCTCCTTTGCAACGGTCTGTTCTCCTGAGTAGCAGTCTGTTAGCGATAATAAACAACCTCTGACCAACCTTTGACCAATCAGAATTGAGTATTCAACTTAGCTTTGTAAAAAGCTGTGTTAATAAATTACGCACACCTTGTCTAGTCAAAGATAGAAGTTATTTGTCTTTTACAGTTAGATTAAAAATGATCAGCAATTAATCTATCAATCAAATTGTATTTATATAGCCCAAAGTCACAAACTACTCATTTATCTCAGGGGTGTGCAGCATTGGACACTTGTAAAACTCCAAAGAAAACCAACAATTAATGGGGAAAATGGAAGAAACCTCAGGGAGAGCAGCAGAGATCAAATATGATAACAACAAAGACAATCCAAATGACTTCAATGATATTGTGTTAATAAAATAAACGGATCATTGTTATTTCAACAATCTTTCATGCTAAAACCGCCCTCTCTTTTCTCCTGTTTCTCCAGGCGCGTTACAAACAGAGCCTGGACCCCACAGTGGACGAGGTGAAGAAGCTGTGCACGTCGCTGAGACGCAACGCCAAAGAGGAGCGGGTCCTTTTCCACTACAACGGCCACGGGGTGCCGCGGCCCACCGTCAACGGAGAGATCTGGGTCTTCAATAAGGTAACACACACAAACGAGAGCAGTAGCCATTGACATCTAGAACCTAGAAACCCTAATTATCTGTTGCTGAGATCACAAATGCAACTATAATGTGATTAAGGAAATAATCAAATGAAACACTACTCTCATTAGTTTGCCTAGTCATATAAGGAGCTCACATGGAGTGGGAACATCCGGTCTTATGTAATCATTTGTATTTGAAAGGAGTTGATGGCACTTGTAGTTACTTCACTAATGCATGGAGAGCTGTCAAATTATGAAACCATAACAAGGTCAAATCTTACTATTAAGCAATGATTGGTCTGTTTGGGATTAACGGCGTGTTACAAATTACGAAATAGGATCATTAACGGCGTGTTACAAGTTACGAAATAGGATCATGTGAGAACTTGGACAATTAATATGGTGAAATGACTTAACAATGAACATATCATAATCATATTGCAAGTTGAGAGACATTCGACTCCATTTGTCCATGGTTGTTCTGAGAATGTAGCTATCGACCCTTTTGAAGGCTTCAATACAGCAAGATTAAAAATGTGTTCAGATTGGCCATCAAATCTAGACCACCGTTGAATTAGGCCCTCCCTGAGACCTGGGATGTTACCTTATACCTGCTGCAGGGTTTGGGTTACAGACCATATATCTGCTGTAACGTTGGGTGTGTCTTCCAGGATAGATTTTGCACCTTGTGAAGGAGGTTGGTATAGCACCCGTCTAGACGTTGATGGAGCATTGAGGGATCAGGTCTTGGAGCCATAAACAATGATTGCCTCAACGATTGTCCTGATCATATTAACATTTATTGCATTCAGCAGGTCATATCGTCATATTTTGTCCACTTTAATGCTACCGCCCAGGCTTTGGCTTTCTGAGATTGGAAGTCTTTCACATATTCCATGATGTATGATATTGTGATATATAATGTATGTCCCAGGTCTTTGAAATCATTGACCAGTTTGAGAGGGGTTTGTGCCGTTGAGATGAACTTGATGCAGTAAAGCCCCCCCAGCACCACAGCAGCTAACTGCATGCTGTGATGTTCGGGTTGGGACTTGCAAATCAGACATAACATCTTGAGTTTTTCATGTCCCTGTCCTATAAGTAAGCACCCACTCACAATGATGCACCGCCGCTGTCTGGGCTTACCCTACCTCCATGTCCTCAGCACACCCCCGGGCCTGATGTCCTCTTCTCCTCCCTTTCCCTCCATATTTCCCACCTTTATACTTATTTCCTATATAATGTAATCAGTAGGGGATGGATTTGATGTTTGAGCAGTGGTGAAGAATGTCATTTTCCATTAGGTAACGGGTATAACACCTTTAGCACTGTGGCTATTGGATTCCTTTTATACTCATTGGCTCTTTTTGTATCCTCATCATCCTCTCTCACTCTCCCTTATTATAACTTCAACTGTTTCTCTCCCGCTAAGCTCACACTCTTCATCAAACAGATGACTAGTTAATAATTAAACACAGATCTATAAAAGTGAGTTTTCAGCAATAACACCATGCCTCATGTTCCTCTTTTTTTTTCTCCATCAGAACTACACCCAGTACATCCCGCTGTCCATCTACGACCTGCAGACGTGGATGGGGAGCCCGTCCATTTTCGTCTACGACTGCTCCAACGCAGGGATCATCGTCAAGTCCTTTAAACAGTTCGCCCTGCAGAGAGAGCAGGAGCTGGAGGTGGGCAGCACACACACACACACACGCACGCACGCACACACACGCGCACACACACTGGTTTACGACATGTCACTGCACAGCAGCCATGAATTAGTACAGGGGTTGTAATTGGACAAATAAAGATTAGGTGAGTCATACAAACACACACAGCGCGCGTAAGGCAAACAGCGGGAAATAAACCGCTGGTATTTATGAGTTATTAATGGAATAGTCAGAGATTTTTCACCTGCAAACACAACGCGGACACATGTACGCTCGTATTATATTTACGAAGCAGACCCAAGTGGTGTCAGTCATGGCGTGTCGAGTCATGGTTCTCCGCTCTCGGAAAATCCTTCCGTGCAGTGATCCAGCCAATCAAATGGGCAGCTGGCTCTAAATCATTGAGTTTTGGTTTAGTCTTGGGATTACACACACACACACACACACACTCGCAGATACACACCTCCACCAGCCCCAGTGCCTTCAACACTTCATCTTTTTATTACGTTTTCTCTCGCTTTCTCTCTCCAGGCTACGGCATGTTATGTGAATACCTAATGAGACGGCTCTGTCATTCATCTCAATTATTCATGCAGAGGTTTCAGCCAGACTGTAGATTAGCTGGAAAACGAGGGAGAGAGGTAGAGGCTGACAGTACTGAGTTTGGAGACTGGAGGTAGAGCGAGAGTAAGGAGGAGATGGTGTGAACGCTGTGTTACCCGTTACAGTGAGAGGTGAAGGCAGCAGCCAAACTAGTGAGTCGCTGCAGTATTTGACAGTGTCGGTGCTTCCTCTCCTGCTCTTCTTCTCTTGTGTTGTTGTGCAGAGGTCACGTAGGGGCTGCACCATCCACGATAAAATCACTGCTTTGTTTTTGCTAAATATCATCGTTATCTGATTTCAGGAAATTGAATTGATTAATGTTTATTCTGCAACATTAATTATATTTCACTGGTTATGTAAATAATCTTATACACTATCAATGAATAATGTTTTACTGTGTGATTTCTTAAAGGATCTATATCAAGTACTTTTTGTGTGGGAGAGAAACTCCCTCAGTAGGGAACACAGGGATTTTAGCCTTTGCAGACCATTTACATGCACACAAACCTATATGACACACTAAAGGAAGCGTAACACTCAAAAAGGCTCTAGGTTCTTACCTAGAGGTGGCAGAACAACTTTGAATTATTGCTATGCTTCAGAGTTTTGACACATTGACCATTTTTAAAAGCAACACGTTCACAATTTTAAAACTACATTCAAATATACATGCAATACTTTTGGCCAAAGTACTGCATGTTGAAAGTGAACTACCCCCTAACCTTTTCCCTGGAGCGTGTACTTTGACACAAATAGTATGAGTAGCGAGTATAGGTAGGTGGTTTCAAATGGACCCAAGCTGAGGAGGTGATGGTCATTCTTTTGTAACAGGTTGTTGAAGTGTTACGGGCCGTCTCCACGGCAGCGTTAAAAAAATCTTGGAGGTGGGCGTATCTGAGGCTTGGGGATTTTTTTGCGATCAACCAATCACATGAATCTCCCGCCCGCGACATATGAAGCCAAAAAGCCCGAAGTAAACTGGATATAAACTCCCCAAAACAGGCGAAAACCTACCACTGTCTCTGCCACCTCCCTCCATGCCTGGCTCCTCCGGTTTATATCCCGGTAGGTCTGGTCATAAAGCACCGGGTGATTGATTCGCTACCGCTAATTTCTCCTCCACGTTTTGGAATATGAGGAAATGACCTGCGGTATTTCTCTCCCAGCATACACGCCGTTTGATTGGCTAGAGCTTGAACTGTCAGATTTGCGTACACGGGATTTGATTGGCTGACGCTTCCTCCTCAGCTTCAAAAGTTGAACATTGTTCAACTTTGGATCTTGAAAATCCTGAGAATCTCCGCTCGCCTGCCCACAATGCATTTCGGCGAAAGCGAAAAAAAGTGACGTCACCCCATTCAAAGTGAATGGGCAGAAGCGTTTCAAGATTTTTTAACGCTGCCGTGGAGACGGCCCGTTACTTAGTAATGGGCCACTGTCTGTTGTCAGTTAAATCACTGTAGTCTATCCTAAGCCATAAGGCCTGGGAGTAAAGATGGTGAAGTATCTCTGTGTAAGCATAGAAGACCTTTTGGCAATAACTGAATATTTATGAGAATCTCACACAATCTCTATTGATATTTTGAATGGACATGGATGTTAACTGCAACCAGTTTTCATTATGACCAGCAGAAAGTTTGTCCCAAATCTGTGTGTGTGTAAAATGCAAATCCACAAACAGATAATTGAGATCAAAAAATGCATTTTTGATTTACAAACAAAAATTTGATTCACAAATGTCAGTTTGGAAGTTGTCACTACAAGTTATTGTCATTTACTTGAAATCAATTTATACATTTTGAGTTGTTTTGCAAGTGTTTTACATTTACAGATTAAAACATTTCCACAGCAATTGTCGATCAGTTCACACAAATAATAACGACACAAATCGACCTCTTTCCCTCATCGCTGCACAAAAAGATTACATGAAGGTTGGACCTCGAAGCTTCGAGTGTTTTGGGAGGGAAATAAACGGAAGAAGTCCCCTGGTTGAACGTTGCATAACCTCCATAAGCAATTATATTTGTTCTTATACCCGAGTGCCTGCCCTTCTCACAGGAAGTGTATAATGGGTGGAGGTAATGGAAGATAAAGAGAGAGGCGCTGACTTCCGGAGACTTTTTAATAATGCAGGAGATGATCCAAGCAGGGAGTCCCCACGTTTCACACACACACACACACGCGCACGCGCACACGCACACGCACACATGCACATGCACACGATTCCCATAGCACGACAGGCCTGATCGCTACAGGGACTATATTTGTTTGTTGATTCAGAAGATTTAAGATTAGAAAAATGATATGAAGGAGGATGATGATGGCATGATATGAAAAGAGGAGGAGGAAGAGATGGAGGAGGAGGAGGTGGTATTTTCGCACTCCTCCGCCGCACCATACCAACCACCTCCTACAGTTGTGTGTAGATGACGCTCTGAGTGCTCTGTTATAGGGCCACCTGCTTCCTTTTAAATATCTCCTCACTTCCTGCCTGCACTCAGCAAACATGCTCACTGCATTAGCCGCGGGGCTAAAGATATTTGTGTGTGTGTGCCCTGCAGCATTCAGCTAGGACATGCCGGACGCTGTGTGTGAGGTTTGTTTGTGTGCATGTTGTGGCTTAGATGTTAGCGTTTCCAGGATGCTCACATTAAGCCTCCTTCTATCATCTTAATGAATAATGAATGCGAGTGGCTTTAAAATGTATTGCTGGACTAGAGTTGCATTTTGGGAGGACGTGCGTGTGAAGGCGTGACTGTGCTCCTGCTGTGATCAAGTGTCTTTACATCTGAATCCCCCTCCCTGTAGGATTATATCAATTAGCGTCACTCTTTAAAGGGAAAACAAACCGGAATCCTGAGCATTTATATTGTCGCCTGATATTCCCCCTGGAAGAGAAAGAAAGGGAAGCTGTCGTGGTGATTTTCATGGTAATTTGCGAGATTACAGTATGCTAATGTGATAATTACAGGGGATGCTCGGCATTAATCAGCTTCGGCTGGCAATGTCTATCGTCAGGATTACTGCGGCACGCCGGCACCTCCAGATTCCGATCAGGAGACAGTTCTCCTCAGGTTGACACATGGAGAGGCCTCTGAAAAGGCTTTGTTGGTGATGTCTGCCTCTGAGAGTGCGTCGACTTCTCCTCATTAGACCCAGAAGAGGAATGTTGTTCTAGGAAAGATTGGCACAGATCCATCCGCACGACTCCCACTCACGCCTGTGAGCGTTTCAAAGAGAAATAAAATATGCATGTTGATTTAAAAAAAACAAAAAGGAAACGCATGCACAGTTACACACTTTATCACACGCCCCTATTAATTAAGACTATTCTTCTGTATTTTTAATATCATGATGTATTCATGTGTGTGCAGAGCTTCTTATAGAGTGCTCCTGTAAATGCATAATGTCTCACAGAGAGATCTGAGCCTCAGCTGCTGCCGCCTTTTCCCTCCACTTATTATAGAGTCAGCTAATGAGTTATTGGACTAGCAGAGAGCAGGGAGGCTGTGCAGTATATACAAGAGCAGGGAGGCATTACATAAATCTACAGTGCCTCATCACAAGGCACTTCCTGCAGTTTGATTAGTTTAACTGGAAACCGGATTGAGCATGGCGGTCTTATCTATACAAACTGACTTTACTTTCTGTTGCTTTTTTCCAAGTCCTACAGTTAAAAAGCGTATTTTTCAGTTTTGTTTCCCGGGCAGCCTTGTTGGATATATCGTTGTGTTTGTAAGACGAAGGCGTCCCCTCAGTGCTTTCCTCCAGTAATGTGGTTTTACCCCGGCTTGCATCAGATACTCAGCTGCAGCACGCAGTAAGCTGTGAGGCAAAAGAAGACTATCCCTTCAGGAGTCATGCTGTTACTGCTGGGTGTGTGGTTTTGTCTACTGCTGTGATTTTCAACTTTCAACAATTATCTAGCCCCCAGCTTAGGATAACTAATTAGTCGATCAACAGAAAAATAATCGCAAACTGTTAGAATAACTGATAAAAAATTGTCTGAAAAATAGTTTTTTCTGTCTCACAAATGTTGAGCTTTTCTGCTTTTATATCATATCAAAGTCAATATGTTTGCATATTTGGAGACATTTAAAGACATCACTTTGGAGTTTGGAGATCTAGGAACACATTATAAAGAAAAAACTATAAATCAATCTAGATTTAGTCTGCTGATTAATTGATAATGAAAACAATTTTTATCGCGGGCCGTAAGTTGAAAAGGTTAACAAGTGCAACAAAAAGGATGGATCCCCCAGACAGAGGTCCTCCAGACAGAGGCCCCCCAGACAGAGGTCCTCCAGACAGAGGTCCCCCAGACAGAGGTCCCCCAGACAGAGGTCCCCCAGACAGAGGTCCCCCAGACAGAGGTCCCCCCAGACAGAGGTCCCCCAGACAGAGGTCCTCCAGAC